AATAGCACATCAGTCCTGTGGGAATTCTATAATATTTTTTCTTATTAACTTCTAATTAAGCCTGAGTGATTTTTATAAGAGATAAACTGCCACATTTTTCAGTATCATCTTTCTTTCTTGGTAGAGAATATCAGGTCTCAATCCTACTAATCTAGCCAGCAAAGATCCTCCAGTTTCATTCAGGGTAACAATATTTAGTTGGATTTATGCCTCTTATAGACATCATTTAGAAGGAAGAGCTAAACAATTTGTACAGCAAATACATAAAAATGTTCCAGAAAATAAGAAACTAACATTTCAGATTTATACTGTTTGACATCAGGTAAAACATGGAGATGTAAGTGAGGTCTTTTAATTTGCACAAGGGCTATGTTTGTTATCCCCATCTAATATAGTACACATGCTATTTCCAGCCTAAATTCTTAACCACATCACTTTCTGTGGGCTGCATGAGAAGGGGAAGAGGCCTAGGAGGTGCATATAAACTGAGCCCTATTATTTACAAATTCAATAAACTGATGCTTATAGTGATGGAGTGGATCTCCCAAAATGTAGGGCACTGGACTGAGCAGGAGGGGTGAGCACTTCAGGGCTTTATCTCAGCCTAGAGGCATCCCACTGTGCTGGCCACTTGTGGTGTTGGGAGATGGAATGCTGCTGTAGGATTGTGCCGTGTGAACACAAGGAAAATGTGAAAGAACGTGACGTTACCAGGATTCAGAAGGTGTTTGGTTAAGTCCACACACAAAATGGTTCCTAAGTTAGGAGTGTGAGAACAATCTCTCCTCTAGCCTTAGAGATCTAGAGGATCTGGAGGCCAGATAGAAAGAGATCTAGAGCGTTTCTGTGGACAGTGAATTGGAAATGAGCCCATTTTATGTTTCATTGCCACTCACCCCCTTTCAGTAGAGAATGTCGTGTATAATGATTTCTTTTAAAGTGTAAGTAGCAGAAGAACACTTTTACTATGACAAATTCCTATCTCTGACACAATTTGCTGACATTATTTCATCATTGATATTTTATCAGCAAACCAACATCATCCTGTGGTATCACCTATGTCCAAGACAGTGGTCACAGTAGGTACAGCAGCACCACTGTAATCACCTGGGAACTGAAGCAGCAATGACACATAGCCTCAGGCATGACCTAGAACTCAGATCAGCTGCAGGAAAACATTGCCAATAGCAAGTTGAGTAGCAAGCTTACAAATTTGTTCCCAGTAATGTTTCTCGTGCAGTAAACAGTGCCTATTTAAGGTCGCCCATCTCTTTGCATTTTATCTCAGCTCATGAGATTTGTATTGTAGAATTTTATAATTAAATAACAGTGAAGATAAAAATGCAGGTATTTTGATTTTATTTATAGCTGTGAAAGCATGCTTTACAATTTATCATTCAGTCCAGGAATTCAGTTATCTTAAGAGGAAAATAAATTTTTCAGTGACAAGTACCAGTTACGACTAAAAACTCTCCATTTACCACCAATAAATCTAATCTACATGCATTAAAGAGGAAAATTTTGCTGACACTTTTTTATTACTTGGTTCCACTGTAATATTTCATCCATTTCAGTATATGCATGTAATCAAAATAAAGAAGTAACTGAGATATCTCTGTTTTCTGACATGGCATTCTTAAAGATTGCTGTCATGACACATTTATTTGCTATAAATTATAGTAAATAATTTTTTGTATCATAAATAGTATTTGATTTGTTACCCAGAGACACAAGATATTCCACAGACATTTTACAAAAGAATGGTAGGTTGCTTTATTGATGCACATGGTGAAAGGAGAATCAAGGGTTTGGTTTTGAAAAGTAACTCACCTGCTCCTAAAAAAAAAGTTTCACATGTCCATCAAGGAAAAGGTTGAAGGCAATTCCCTGCAAGTAAGCAATAGCTATCAGAATGCATTAGGCAGGACTAACTCATACACTACCTTCATACCCTTGACCTTCCAGACACATTTGTAGATAACAATGATTCTTCTGACAGCCGACACAAATCCTCACAGTTCTGTGGGCAGATATTTCAGTTCTGCATTGAAACTATATTTCCCATAGCATCAAGTCAATCATTTCTGTAAGACAGAAATTTTGAGTTATGCAGCAGTACAATGCATGCCAGAGCCTACACTTTGCAAAATATAGCCATGATCTTATAACGCTCGTACCAAGATAAGTTTCTTCTGTATGGCAGTTGGAGAATGGTCTAATCTGGGCCCAGTCATCAGTGTCTGGCAGCAATAAGGCAGCAGCTTGAAATAAACTGCCAGCTGAACACTCTGAAAGGAGGTTTCTGCATCCAAACTTTCAAGACCTAGATGTTCCTGTAAAAGAGATTAGTAACTAGATTGTGGAGACAAAATAAGGACACATAGAAGAAACAGCTTCCTAGAGCACTTCATTTGTTTGTTTGTTTCCAAAAACATCTACTGGTAATTTGGTGTGAGAATACATATAAACTGAATTTGTAGCTTTTACAGGAGTCCTCTTTTGAATATATATTGATGTTAAACTGGATTTATGGGATTACCAATGTGTTTCACTTTCTTCTCAGATATTTGTAATATTAGAAAGGTTAGATAAATGTTTGTTTACCATCATCTCATTCTACATTAACAGTACAAGCCCTTTCAGTCTGGGTGCAAGCATAATGGAAAAAAGTAATAAAATGAAGATTTTGTAAAATACATAAAATGTTATATCCTGGACACACTCCAGGAAAAATTGCAGGCTTTATATAGAGCTATGCATTCTGTCAGCATATATATTGTTCTGTGACACAGTTGAGGCAGAATAGAAGCAAAAAAACCCATGGGAGCACTTGCTGAGATTTGCACTGTCACCTTTGTGCTACCAGCTTCACCCATTGACTGCCCTGCCTTTATCTATAACTGGAAGCAGATGTTGGGTGACTCAATGGCGCCTCAACTCTCTTACCTGTGTTCTGGTGCCCTGCTCCCATGCCTCATCCACATGCTGCCAGAATAGGGCAGTGTGGCTTGGGGTCCAGTTCTGTCATCTATGTCCCTGGCATGAAACCCTCTCCACGGGAAAGTGGGATTTATAAGGTGTGGCTTCAGTTCAAAAGGCCTCGCAAGTATCCAAGGAAATGGCAAGTGCTGAAAGAGGGGAAGGGAAAATATACGGGAAATTGCTTCATGTATGAGTAGAATAATTTTGGAAGTAGGTGTTTGAACAAACTCATCTTCTTTCTTTAAAAGCTGTAAAAATTTACTGCTGTCTAGAGACAAGCCTGTCCTCTCCTTACTTTCATCGGGGAGGATGCATCCATAGCAGTGTTGAAAAAACACTGTTACCTAAGTATTTCTTTTCACCTCTGAAGCTAAATGTCATCTGTATGTTACTGACATAATGTTCTGTCTCTTACCACTAGAAGGTGAGGATGTTATGAGAAGATCAACTTTGGGAATCTGTATCCTGAGAAAAAGACTGCAAAAAAGCAGGAAGGGTTAAGGGACACCACTTTCCTCACAACACTCTGAAGAAGCACCCCCAAAATCTTGTGACAACAACTATATTTGGTTCTCAAAAATTCCAAAATAGGCTCTGTTATTTCAGCTGTTGGACTGGGAACTTAGTCAGCTGATAGCCAGAATAACTCAGGAACTGTATGGATCTGTTCCTGGATTATTCAAGATGCTGAACAAAAGAAGGTATGCAAAGGTTCTTGAAGACCTGGAACTGTGTGCCTGTCTCCCTTTCTTGTCCAGCAAATGTTTCTATGAGATCTATGTCTAACCAGGCAAGGATTTGAGGACTGTACCAATTAGGCTTAGAGGAGTTTTTCTCATAAAAAAATCTCACTAATTCCAATGATTCATCATCACTAACTGCTTTGGGGCTTGCATGCAGAATTTTTCTCTCTCCCAGTTTCAGCAGTATATTGGAGAGATTGTCACAAAATTATTTTCCTAATGTCCCCAGTAAAAGGACTGGAAAAACTGGCAGTTTAATGCAAGCATTTCTAGATTACTGTAATCCCTCACTGTTGAATATGATCAGGTAGACACTGACTGTGACCATGGATGCTCAGTGAGTGCATGGTGCTGAGCCTGCTCTCCAGGAACTCTCCCTTGGGTGAAGTCTTTCCTGCAAATAAAAGACAGGCAGGGTCGTAGCATGATTTTTCTTGGTTGTAGTTTCACACTGTGTTAGCTCCACCTTGGGATGATATATGTTTGACCAATGCCAGGGATTTCACAATGTTACATTTGGGAAGTGGATAGGTTGAAGCTGAAGATGAATTGGAAGATGTTGTGTTGTGTGTGGGAATTGTGCCTTGTGGAATCCACATTTTGGTGGACTGGCAGATTCAGAGCTCTCATATTGTGTCAATGGGAGAGTCAACTCAGAAAGGACTGGGAGATTTTGGATCTTCTTATAAATGTTTCAACTAATGCCCAAGTTGCCCTGAGATCACAAGAAGGTGAACAGAACTGGAGAAATTAATTATTCACAATACCTTGGCAGGCATGGTCTTTCACTACAGCAGAGAGAAAAGTTTGGCATTTGAAGTGCGTTTTATAACTATTTTTCCTTTGCTCTTAGAAAAATGCTTTAGCGCCTTTAGAAAAAGAAATTACCTTAAGAGTTCAGATTTGTCTAGAATGCAGTAAAGAATAATTCAGCTATTATATATGAAGTTTTTCTAAATTGCATTTTTTCTTTCAAGAGGGCCCACTAGAAATACAATGCCTTGAAAATTCACTGTTCCTCTTCTTTGTTAGCTCCACCTCCTATCCTCAAATTTGAGGATGGGAGCTGCAGTCCCAAAAGTGTAACCCTTTTCAAAAGTTCATAAATTGAGGCAAAGAAATTATTGTGGGACTTTATGCTAATTACTCACGTTTCAACACAAACATATTGTGATAAACCTTGTCAGCAAGAAAGTATTGATTTAACTTTATGCCTTTTTTTTTTCTTTTCTTTTTAAAATATCAACATGAATGGATTTCTTTCTGTTTCCTCAGAACTAGAGGCAGAGGAGTGGTGCAAGCATCTTTGCATGGAATGTCTGGGGGCCAGGCTCAATGATATAAGTCTTGGGGAGCCAGATTTGCTTGCTGCTGGAGTCCAGAGAGAACAAAATGGTAAGTAACTTTTTATTTACTCCTACATCCATTCTTAGGTGATATCCCATTTCTTGTGCCTGTTGTTGTGAGGACTTTTGCTAGTAGCTGGAAGCACATCATTAGTAAATAAACATTTGGATGTGCTTTTGAAGCTCAAGCCTATTTATATTATTTTTACAAATAAAGATTATTAAATTCCATGCCAAATAATACATATAGAGTGAGTTTGTGTCTTCATTGTGTTCAGATTTCCCTGTCATGGGAAATGGTGGCCATGACCCTTCTGTTTCTGGAAATGATGGCTTCTGTGCAGAGGAATAAAGCAGCAGCTGTTGTTTGGCAGCTTTTTAAGGGCAGTGATGAACATACCAACAGCAATTTGGATACAAAACACATATTTGCTTTAAACTCCTACCTCTCTTGAATATTGAAGTCAGGATCATCTAAATGCTGTCAAATATGGGTGAAAAGGGCAGTGACAGATGTTAGTCAGCACTAAGCCCGAGTTGTAAATCTTCATCTAAAGGCTGTTTGGATTAGATACATGCAGGAAGAATGCTAGTGGATGGAATAGGCAATAACAAAAGAAAATCTATGATTACTCTGTCATTTAATTCCTATTAATGAACACGAGGGCAACACAAAATGTGCTCATTTAGTCCTCCCTAAATTACAGCTCTCAATGATTATTACTGTCTTGATGCTTCTATAAGATCCAATAGCTTTCAACAAAGTAATAACACACACTGCCTCAATGGTCATAAAATATCAAGCCAACTGTCATTATAAACAAAATTACGTAATTAAATTATAGAATGTACGGCACTATACTCATTATATTATTTCTCTGAACCTAATAGCACACAGCATGAAATATAAAGAAATCTTTAAGGAATTCTGTTCAAAAAGCAGACATGTTGAAATGGGATTTAAAAGAAGTTCAAATGTTCATAAAGTTGTTTACCTGCTATGAGACACAGAATTCAATTTGTAGTCTCAAACTACTTAACAAAGGGAGAGCTACTAATGTTGTAGGAAAGTGATAATGATCAGACAGCACTCAAAGCACCCCATCTGCTATATGTTCATAGGCTATAGGTGTAAAACTCATCTGCATGCTACTGAAGAGAGAACTGTGTGAACAGGTGGAGGTCTTTCACAAATGTGAAAGGAAATAAACCTCATCAAAAAGCCTGGGATGTGAACAGAAAAGTAGTTTGAAATTCGTCAAGCTCTTTCTGCAGTGAATTCATGTAATTCATCTCCAGCAGCTTTTGGACATAGATGGAAAATATTACATTTTATCATGTTCCTGAAAGAGATCCAGTTAGATACACATGACCTCCAGGAGGCATATATTAGTTCTGTTGTATGAACTAGTCTTGATTCAATTGCCTTAGTCTAGAAATTAATTGCAGTGTTACCAACCGGCATATATGAACATAATTAGCATTTTTATTGTTCTAAGTAAATAAATGAAAGGAAACAAAGGGGCAAAGCATGTGTTTGTTGTACAAATCACATGAATAATAATGCATGGAGGGTATCATTAGCTGTATTCTTTTAAAACAAGTGACTGAATACATATAATCCAATATTTGACGAGTATGCTCTGCTAAATCATTAGTTACAGTATCTCAAACAAGTAATTCTGATACCTATCCTCATCCCCTTGATGCACAACTTTGCATTTTAATAAGCATGTTTGAAATTCAAAGTTGTCTTGTTCAGAGGCAAAACAAATTCTGTTGTGGCTGTCTTTTAATCAACTTGGAAGGAGGAAAAAGTGCAGAGATTCTTACTATAGGTATGAAATTTGACATTTTGTTCATTTATCTATGCTGCAAGAACCTGCAGTTGCACTCAAATTCCTATAGCAGATTTCTTCAATTGAATGGAACCATTCCTTCAGTATACACTGGTTATCTTATCCTGTAAACCTGGCAGTGTCATTCCCCACATGACAGTGTTATTCAGAAGGTGACTAGTTCCAGGGTGGAATGATTTGGGTTGCACCATTTCAGATTTTTAGTTTATTTTCTTGCACATTTTCCCCATACACAGCTTTTGCACACAGGCTATCAAAACCAGTAGGTAGTTCAAAAGATGCCTCAAAAACTTTTGAAAGTCAACTGAGCTTTTGCTTATAAATGTTCTTGTTGAGCTTTTGTTGACCTGAAACTGAAAGGTCAAAGTTAATTTTACAAATGAAAATTCATGGACAATGGCTATGAGTATGAAGCATCTAAAATCTGGCTCTTTGTGAAAATGACATCTGTGTCACTCTCTGGATAATTTTTATTTTTATATGTTACATAAAAACTGAATGTTAGTGTTGTACCTTTGAATGTCATTTCTTCAAAACATATTGTGAGTGTGTCAACTTCATAGAATTCCTCTCAAGTTAGTTAATTTATTAATGCTTACTTGAAGCAGAGATGTGAGAATACAGATTATAAAACATGTAACAGAGTCTCACAGCCTCAGCATCCAGTTTTATGCAAGTTCTGTTGCCTGACCCATACAAAAGCTTTCTTTCAGATCACTGAAAAAATATCTCTTACTGTTTGAGCAAAACCACAGATTGTAATAAATATTATAGTGCTAATGGGTTTTCAGTTTTGGATATTTTTTTTTTGCACTTTCAAAGGCTAAGAGACATTGAATAATGGTGTCATACTGCTCAGATCTCTATGATATAACAGGTGCTAATGCATTAATCCCAGAAGAACAGGTGTATTAAGCATTATTTGCATCCCATTCCACTGAGGTTTTTTCAAAGAGTCACTTTTCACTAAAGATTTTCCGAAATGTGTAAAATTTGGTAAAGATGCCTCTTTGAACTAGAAAAAACTAGCCTAATAAGGTGGGGTTTTTCATGAACTGCTTTACCTTTTTCAAGAGATAATATTTTTAATATGCAGTGCTCTTCATGTATTCAACTACTTGCCCAATCTTGTTCTTAAAGGACATTTTAATGTTGCAAGGGTATTCAGCAAACATATCAGATAAATAAATTGGCTGTCTCTCAAAAAACCTCTAACTTTCTGATGTGTAGATTTGTAGTTTTTTTCCTGTATATGACAACCAAAGCCACTACCCTCAATTTGCAACATTTGAAATAATGTTTCAGAATTGCTATTGTATATGCCTACTAAAATTGCTGCATGCTACTTGTATTTTTATACACAATTAATTAAATTTCAGAAAATATTTGGTAAAGAAAATATGCATGGTTTCTCTCATTTGTTTAATTCCTCTTTTTATTATTTCTGAGCCTGTTTATCCCCCCAGTCTCACTCTTGTGGTCCTTCTGAGATGAGCTTTAGATTTGAGAAGGGAAGACACCTGATTCTCTGTGCAGGAATGCAACAACATGGTTTGCAAAAAAAATTTGCTCCAAAAGCTGGCAAAACTGTTGTTTGGTGTGCAAAGGCTGTACAGTCACAAGGCAGTTCTGCCACATGACAATAGAAATCTAAATAAATACAAATCTAAACCTGAAAGAAGCATTCTTTTATAGCTATGGGTTGGTCAGTAAGCGCCAGCGGGTTCTGTTTCAGCGTAGTTGAGCTGTTGTTTGAGCCTCCAGCATCAAGCAATTCTGCAGTGGTGACAGCAAAATGAGGAAAATTGTAGAGCTACTTTGCTTATAGCAGAGGGCTCTGCTGCTGTGTCTTGTAGGAAGGATAGAGAAGACATCTAAGCTACTTTTGTGCAATGCACATCAGTAACAGGAAGCTTCTCACTGGATTTCAGCTCCATTATCGCTTTCCAAAGTATTACCTCAAGTCTTGCTGCGTAAACTCTGCTGCAGAAAATGACTATTAGGTGGTTTTCTTTTGAAATTTAAGGCTCACAACTAATGGCTGCTTAGCTTGAATGATGCACAAATTCCAATTAAACTGAGATGTGAAATGAAGCTTCTGTTGCTCTCCAACCACTTTACCCACTCTCTCCTGCAAATCTAAGTGATTTGTTGGTGTACCTCAGCCCTATAGCAGCAACCTTGTTTCTGTTTAAATTTCTTTTCACACTGAACATGATCTCTAGCATTTATGAATTTTTCTTTAGATTATTTGCTAAGGAATTAAAATATAGTATGAAAGCAAAAGCAGTAGAGGCCTCACTTCAGGTAATTTATTTAGTATATACTTATTCAGGTAATTTATTTAGTATGTACCTATTCAGGTAATTTATTTAGTATAATGGCAGTGAAGCTTTATATGCAACCATAAGACAAATAATAATACACAGTTATAACTCCATGAAAGAAAATCTGGACTGAGTTGGATCTGCTTACACTATTGACAAGTCTTCTAAGCAACATGTGATTCTTTCATGCACATTTTATAATCCTTAGGTTTCTCAAGCTGCTGCTAGATGAAGAAGTTGTGAATGTGGAGTGTTGACTTCATTTGGAAGAACTGGAAATTCCCTTTCCAGCTCTCAATGCATTTGGAAGCATTTGCAATACACCCCAAAACATAATGACAAAGTTGGAGGTTTTGGCATTCTTTTTTAATTTTTATCTCCCCAGGTGATGTCATATCTAGAATTTCTCCATTCTCATAATGGATAGTGTGTCCAATGTGTCACTATTTTCATTCTTTATAAAATGAAGCAATTTGAAAGATGTCATCCATATGGACACTATACAATAACAGACTATATTTAATATGCAAAAGAAATCAGACTATTCCAGATAATGTTGGTTAAAAAAGCAGTATGTGTAGACTATTATTCAGTTCACTTTTTAGGAGCAGGTGCATCTGTTTGATGAAGATTCTATTTCTATCCATTTTAAATACTAAATAATAGCACTAAAATAGTTGAATACTCGTACTAAATAATTTTCTATTAAACTTTTCTTGTACTAAACCATGTTCTATCAACCTTTACTTCTAAACTTGATGTAAAACTTGAAGAAAATGGGCAAATGTTAAAATGCAAATTTTTAAACTGAAGAAAAGGCCAGATCCATCCTTTGCTGCTATATCTTATTTACTCCTAACTCAATCCTGTGATACCAATATGAGGCTTTTTAATTATGTGTTTTGAGGCTTTATTTAAAAAAAAAAAATACTCCATGATAAACATAATTTTTATTTCCAAAGTCTGGAAAAGTTTGAAAGATAATTGAATTTTTGCTTTTCCTCCCTGCCTAATATTAATTAGTATTTAATAAAATTACTTCCTTTGTAAGGTTTTCGTTCTTTCATTGGTTTTACCTTCCTTTTTTATTTAAAAACCTTCCACAGGAACAGCAGTCTTGCTTCCTGGATTTTAATTGCAAGAAAGTCATTAATTCTTGTTAGTAAAAATGTAGCTTTTCATAGTGAACAACGTCCTTGAATCCTCAGAAGAGGATTATAAGGCATTTCCTTGTGCTACATATTGAGATTACAAACGACAGCCAAAGCATAGAGACTTCGTAATTACATTCACTGAGCTGACTTGTTTTAGGGCATTTTCTAGGGTCTGTAGAATATCTGTAATTTAATACATAAAAGCACTTTGCATGTATTTTTATTTATCTTCTGTTATCCTTAATCCATTTTTATACAATAGGTTTGTTTTTTGGGTTTTTTAAAATAAATGAAACACAGTTTTATTCAGAAAAGCAAGGTGTTTTCAGTTTTAATGTTAATCCAGTGAGACTTCAGATTCTTCTCTACCTTACTACTTACCACTGAAACAATTTGAAGTATTTACCTGCCTTTTTATTTTTTTATTGATATGCTTACATTTTTAACGAATGCAAAGCAGAATATTTATAAGCAAAGGAAAAAAATTCTTTCTTCTGAAATCCTGGTTCCTCACTGCATACAGCAGAAGGGAAGCATTCTAATAGCCCTGAGATATGAATTAACACAAAATGCTGCACCTTCCAGACTTTAAGCTCTCTTTCCACCTGAAAATTAGCCACAGTTGCTCAGCAGGAGAAGTCTCACTGGTGGAGGAGTTTCTTTCACATATAAATTGAATATTTGCTTTCAAATCCTCTACTTATTTATATAGGTGCCACCAACATGACTGTCACCTTCTAGAAGTAATTTTTTACCCATCATTAAAGCTGAAATGAAACCAAGCATCTGGATTGCACAATTGCAATGTCATCTGGTCGGTTTTCCAGCTGGGATGATTTAACCAAAGGAATCCAGTGATAAAACGGCAGCATCAGGATCACTGAGCTCCCATCATTTTGCTCCCCCAGTACAGCTGGAAGGCCGAGAGCATTTTGGAGTTGCTGCCAAGTGTCTGTCTCAGTCAATATGCTCATTTTCATAAAGACTCTTATGCTCCTGTGCCCTGGAAAGCATTATTAAGTGTCGTATTCTTGCCAAAGCCCAAATGCCAAACACCTTTACATGCACTAAGTGTAGGATGAAGCATTGCTCTGCTTATTCAAGGAGATGGGAAAGAGCAGTCACATTGAGTGAAATAATAAGTGTAGCAATATATCAGCATTTTTTTCTCATCCTGACTCCCCTACTCCCTGAACTTTGCTCTCACCTGTTTAGGGAAGGGAGGAGGATAGTAATCCTGGATGCTGAGGAATTGTGCCTGTTCAGCCCTAGTCTTACCTTGTCCAACTATATCTCATCTACTTGTTCAGTTTATTCCATCTCTCTACTTTCTTGGCCTTTATTAACTTCTATTTGCCTAGTTTTACTAGCCAATGGACTGTAATTATCTCATCCTACTCATATGCAGATGGTATCTGGACCAAAGAGAAGCAAAATAACCTATTCAATGTCATTCAGAAGATTTGGTGTCAGAATTCAGCTGGGATTCCCAAGTCTGGCCTATGATGAGTGTTTGTTTTTGCCTGGATAAATGTAAGGGCAAAACATGCCACTAAAGATGGAGTGACTGTATTGCTATTAGCTAGATACCTGCTCAAATATTTTCTGGAATGGAAAAATTCAACCCTGCATGTTAATTAATAAAACCTTTTAATAGTACCTCCACCTTTCCATGTCCTCAGCTGCCCATTATTCAAAAGTATAGGTTTTGCTCCAAAAGGAAATCTATCCATCCTCAATTTTCTCCAGCACATATGTTTGTGTGCTTGTTTTTCTTGCCAATTTGATTCGGTTCCAAGGGTGCTACGTTTTGCCCTGCAGCTGATGTTCACTTTAATCAGACATACTTCCTCTAATCCCTGACATCTCACCTTAGACACTGACCACCCATGCAAAGTCAGCAAATGTCTCCTGACAGTTTGAGGATACCATATGTCCTGAATGCCCTTCATGCAATAATATTCTCAAACACATCAGAGAAGTTGAGCATTTCATGACTAACCTGGTAACATCTAAAGCAAGTTGAAGTATTTTGTGTCTTCCACACAGCAGTTTAATGTTAACTTCAAAAAATAATTGTACCTTTTCATTTTCTCTGCTGTCTGAGGCATTCTGTCAGTGAAGATGGGGAAAGAGAGAGATTTTCATTCTCACATAGTAACCCCATCCCCCATGGATACACTGTGTTATTTCGTGTCATGCAAGAGAGAAAGAGCTGACAGGCCAGTTACTGCATCTTTCTTTCAAATAGAGGAGGGAAGTGGCAATAACTGACAGCACAGCAATGCAAACCTGGAGCCTAATACATGATAAAAGTAAGCTGAAAACCTGTGAGTAATTTCTGCATGATGATCCCAATGACATATGGATACTGAAAGGGTGCATATACATACATATACATATACATATACATATACATATGTATATGTATTATTGCAGTGCAAAGTGAAAGTTATCTTGTTCACCACCATTCCCTTCCCAATTTGGTCTTTGACCCACTACTCCCAAGTGTGAGTCCTTCCATTTAGTTTAGTAGGCATTACATTACACCTCTGCCCCATGCACTCCTCTGAGCATTTGGGGAAATTCTCCTCAGGGATCTCAGCGGTCTCTGCTAATCTACTTGTGCCGTGTGTCACAAGGCTTTCACAAAATGTCTGGGGTTTCACACATGGGATCCTAGTCATAAAATTAAACTTTTAGGGCTAAAACCCATTAGTGTGACTAATGAGAACTTGGACCTGGGAGAAGAGGTTGTGACTGAATGAATAAATTGGGGAGCCATTAATAGGACAAAATTAAATTGACTGAAACAGAACAACATTAGGGATGACAAGTTTACTTATAGCTATGCAGCAATTTTTATTGCTCAGCCAGCAGTTCCTTGCTTTCTCTAATTCCTCAAACTTTTGCCACTTTATTCACACACACACAAACTCACACACACTCATACCATATTTTATATCAACTCTCTTGCAATACTTTAACTGTTTTGTCAGAAAAATATACTTATATCAAATGTTTAAAAATTAGAGACATAATGCCTATGATACTGAATTTCAAACAGAACGGGAAGCTAATTTTGAGTGTTGAAGTAAATTTCCCTCACTTAAATTTAAATTCCTTCCTAATTTTAGGACACTGTGAGAAAATTCAGTTCCAACGGTGGATTAAAAATATTTAATCCACCTTTTTCATCCTTTAATTCTTTTTACTTTATCAAGTAATTGGAGGCAATTTTCCTATCAGTTGTCCCTCTAAAGAACATTTTCCTAATATTGTTATTGAATAAGCACTGCTCATGCTCGTACTTTGAATTGTTCTTACCTTTTTTTGTCAACACCTTCTGGCAGTAGAATTGACATTTTGCATTTTTACCCATTTCAAAGATGAAAAAAAACTGTGACAGGAAAGTTGTCAATGTACTGCACTCTCTCCCATATGATGCTATTAAGCCCTAATATTGCAATGCATGTAGTGTTAAAATATAGGCTGGCACGTTCAACTGTACAATCAGAAATTTAACTCAGTTTTTTATCCTTTGTAGAAACAACTCATAGGAACATCAGTTATTCTTCAAAGAAAATTGCATTTGTATTTAAATTTCTTTCTAATAAAATTTACTTCCTTCCATATGAGTTAATGGTGTTTTACATCACCTTGGTTTTTGGTTTTTCCT